AGCATTCCTGCTGTGGGCAATTCGAGGGTGAAATTTAGAATAGGAAGGAGCCATTACAACGCAGCATTAGCTCGAATTCGAATTTGAATCGACGACAGTGGAACCAGTTCGAGTTCGAGTTCGAATTCGAATCGACGACAGCGATTTTGGAGTTCGACTCTTTCTATATTCGTCCACCGGGTTGACTTCTAACTCGAGTTCGAATTCGGTTCCTTCCATATATAAATATATCCGTTCAGGGTTGAGTTCATCAATAAGTATAACTGTTTCAGTTTTCGAGATCGAGTTCGGGTTCGAGTTCGGTTCCTTCCATATATCCTTTCAGGGTTAAGTTCAGTTCGAGATCGAGTTCGAGTTCGAGTTCGAGCGGGGCACACTTTGCCATCTGCCTAGAATCATACATGGGGGTTCAACACGTCAAATGCAAAGAATGTATTATAGTCACGGACAAATACTTAGAACATATTTTGGAAAAAAAAAATTGTATATGGTACCTGGAAACAGTGTTCTAAGTATAGCACTTAGTCACCAAATAACAAAGAACAATTTCCAGGGGTGAAGTGACTGTTCTAAGTGTGTGCTCACACAAGGGTATGGCTACACCACTGGGGATGTGCTAACACCAAGAAATGTTCTAAGTATTGGTCCGTGACTATAACTATTCTACTTGCAACAGCCTCTTGACTCACTGCATGTTCTAAGTGAGTGACGTCACAAGGGCATGCCGCCACGCGTTTTGCAGTGCAGTTCAAAGTGTGCTGGCAGATTTGGGCTCCATACAGTCCATACAGAGGTCGCTTCATCCCCCCGCCATGGCAGCAGATACTACTCTGCCGCCACAAGTTCACGAATTCAAATATGGGCCACTTTGCTGCAAGTGCAGGGTGGAAGCCTCAATTTAAGGCTACTTGACATGTTCTAAGTATGCGTGCACCAAAGGGTTTACAAAAACCGGAGCCAAGTGAACAGCTCTTGCCTGCTGATGTTCAAGCACAAAGAGGGAAAAGCACACTGTGTTTCAAAGTGTGATGTAGTTTTCAACCCAAGAGAAAATATCTCTATATATATACTTACAAAAAGGTCTCCTGCAATGTTCTAAGTGCAAGGTTTCCGCAGGCGTTTGCAAAGGCTCAAGTATCAGGGTATTGTTGAAGAGCAAACATGAGCAAACGCAAAACGGCAATGGAGTTTGCCTCAAATGGGCCTATGACACTACTCTTGGGCCTAGCTAGCTCATTGGCCAAATATATGGCGTTGATCCTCCTTTGGTTCATGTGTGAAGCAGATATCCTTGATTTTTCTTTGAGGGTAAAGCTGTTTCTGCCCAAATTCAAGGAAGACCAGGAAGACGGCGATTCTGACTGGGATGTGGTGAGTGGTGGGTCAAAAGCTCCAAGTCCAGCAAGTCCAGGAGCATGTTCTGCCAACACATCCTACACCTCTCAGTGTGAGCACCCGCAAGTGTCAAAAAAGGGCAGCAATCACTTTGTGCAGCAGAGACGCTGCAAAATCTGTGGATTGATCCTGTCTAAAGAATTGACTCGTGCTGGTGTCATGTGCCAAGACGTCAAGGCTGCAAAGAAAGGAGTGCTGCATTAGAGCTATTGTGTCAGGATGGCAAAGTGCTCAGACTGCACTACATCAGCGATAGAACGAAGATGGATTGTTGCGGCTGTGGAAAAAGGATGCAAATCATTGCCGCCAAACAGGGTGAGCATGGAGGAAGCTGTATACATAGTGTATGTATGCATGTATGTGTGTATATATATATATGACATTGGGACAACACCACCAGTACCAGAGTTGTTCTAAGTGTAGCTTGTCTGCGGGAGTATGCCTCTGGCGGAACTCTCGCAATACATGTGTATATGATATATATATATATATATATGTATATGTGTGTAGTTGCTTTTACCAACCCACAGTCTTCTGTTCTCACTTTTGTGTAGAACCATTCCCAAGGGTTCTTTACATGCCCACCTTTTATCCAAACACACCTGCTGAGGGGGTGGCTGATATTGCCCAAGTCTACCCCCACCCTGATGATATTGTCTGGTGTATAATATATATAGCTCCCTCGCGTGTCAAGGTCCCCTTGTTTGAAGGCGAGTTTTGTTCAACAACATAGATGGGTGAAAGCTTTCCTCAGTGTTCTAAGTGTATGGTTCTTGCGGGCACTAGGTTGCCAGAACTCATATGGATCCATAGAAGTTGAAGCAACTACTTTTCTTGGGCGAACTCAACAGATTTCAGACTGGTTCGCATTGTTTTGCGCCTCGAAGGCTCTTTGTATATAGTATATGTAATTATATACTAAAGCTGGACATCTTAATTCAAATGTTCTAAGTGTAGTTGTTCACAAACACGTGCGCTACCAAGGTATCTGGTGCGATTCGATTGCCACGGAAGGAAATTCCAAGTGATCCACTTTCCAACAGCACAAGCTTGCCGGCAAGCAGCTCTAGCATACTATGAGCAGACCAAGAGCTTTTTGGGCAAGTTTGACTCATTGCAGGGAAAGGCAGGCAGGTTGAAAAACCCCGTCAGTGTGTGGGATGTAACAATGTACATACTAGTCCACATATATATATATATACACAGTATACAGTATACATATGTTTTTTGATACACATCATATACAGCATACTAATTGTCTCTGGCCTTCTGGCCTAATTTGGCCCCGTGCAGGGCTTGGCCAAAGAGCGGAATGAGTGGATGGTATCTATGGGTTTCTCAAAGACTGGAAGTTTGGCTCATCAGAGGCAGCTCATGCAGGAGAAGCTTGCTCTTGGAGTTGTCCGTCCAGTTGAACAAGCGGTTTTGCAAGCAATTGACCTCTCAGGCTGCTTGGTTGGTGCGAGCAAGGTTGAGGTCGCGGACAAGTTGGGTTCTTTCAAGGCGACCTTTGATGTGAACGGCTCTGATATGCTTTCCAAGCAGGTTGAGACTCTCAAGGTAGCTTATGATTGGCTACTTCAAATGTCCCATTCGAGCAAACAAGGGATTTTGACTCAAAGCCTCAAAAAGGTAGAGCAAGTTGCAAAGCCAGCTGCAGCCTTAGAGAAAGCCGCTGATGATCTCAGCTCAGGCAAGACCATGGAGGAGGTTGTTTCCTCTTTGGGTAGCACAGAGCTTCTCAAAGGCGCACAAGATGTGACTGCTGTGTTCATGAAGCCTGACAAGGTCGAGCAGGAGGAACTTCCATTGTCCAAGATATCTGTCCACAAGGGATCTTTGAATACCTTCATCAACATTGCCTTCTCCAACCATGAAGCTTGGGCCTTGCTTCTTGGGAAGGTAGCATGGAATGGCAAGTACCACGTGACAAACTTTGTGCTTAGCACAGGCTCTGTGCAAGAACTTTTGGAGCACACCAGAGTAAAAGCACGCTGTGATGCACAGGGCTTAGGTCCTTGTGGAGTTGTCATGGTCGGGAGGCCCGAGCAGTTTGAGGACCATATACTCCGATTATTCAGCTCAACAACTGAATGCCCCTTATTCATCAACGTCGACTTTTCCAAAGCAACTGCTGGAACGGTTCTTGCATGGGAGCTAGCTGACGATGAAAGCTCCACCAAAGTTCGTGTGCAGTGGGCCACACAGCCTAGAGAGTTACAAAAGCGGCTTCTGTACAACATATGCTGGATTCATGATCTTGGAACTTCGCAAACTGAGCATGCCACAAAGCGCATCTGCGCTGCTGTTCTTAGCCAAGTTTTGGAGAAGGGTGATTCTGAGGGAAAAGACCGGCAATTTCTCGATACAACTTGGTATCGGAGAGTAGAAGTCC